TAACAACAACAACAATAATAATAACAACAACAATAATAATAACAACAACAACAATAACAATAACAACAATAATAACAATAACAACGATAATAACAATAACAACGATAACAACAACAATAATAAACAACGAAACAAAAAAAAACACAAAATTTTTAAAAAGAAAAACATGTAGAAAAATAATCACACTAAAAAATCGAAGTAAAGGCACTATATATATTATATACAAACATACATACATACATACATACATACATATATATATATATATATATATATATATAAATATAACTATACATATGTATAGTTATAAATACATGTATATATACAATATTGTATGTATTCTACCGAATTGTGTAAAATCGGAATAAGGCCTAGACACTATCTGCACTATGAACTTAGACAACAATAGCAAGAGTTTCATTAAATTTTGATCATGAGCTCGGGTGATAATTCTAAATTGAACCATTCCTTAAAAATTCTAGTAAAGAAAATTGTAAATACGAACTTTAAACTGACATTAACGCCATCAGTCCGGTATAATCCATACAATACTGTATAAAATATGGTCTCCTTCCAACATACACATAAATATACATTTATATATATATATATATATATTTATGTGAGTGTGTGTATACAATGACAATTATGAATGATGATTAAAACAATAGAAAATCGCTAAATAAATTTACAGAATATATAAGGCATATAATATATGGTACCGTATTATTATAATAAATGCATATGTGACGACGTACTCGTACGTATGTTTGTAAGAAAAAAATGAGAAAAAAAAATATATATATATAAAAGATGATTCGTTCAAAAGATAATTCTCTCTCTTCCCTCTCTCTCTCTCTCTCACTCTCTCTATAAAATTCTCTCACCTCAAAGTCGAAATAGAAAAACTGTCCTAATTAAACATGTTTATATATTTTGTATGTGCTATATAATGATTGATTGTATGTATAATTTACAGTATATGAATATATATATGTATATTATATAAAAATATATACAATTATATGAGAAACATGTGTTATGATCATTGACAAAGTTACATTTACATTACATTACATTACATTTCACGAAGTGTATAAACGGATTGAAGAGATAAATTGTAAAAAATTCTTTTTTTTCGTTATTTCTCAATGTATGTGTGTATGTATGTATGTTTTTATGTTTGCTTGTACGTATGTATGTATGTACGTATGTATGTACGTTTGTTTGTATGTATGTATGTTTGTACATATGTTTGTTTAAGACACAAGCAAACCTTCAAGCAAAAAATTTCACAATAAAAAACCAAGAAGAAGAAAGAAAAATTTATTTATACAGGTTTATATATTGTATATGATAATGTGTACACGCAGTTATATATATATATTTTAATATATATATATATATTTATATAAATAGGGGGGACCAAAAGCACTTCATACTAAGGTCAAAAGGTCAAACGAAGAAAAAAAAATTTGGTAAAACAGAGAGATTTCAAAAGAATTTAAATGAAAATGTACTTAAACATCTTTGTTTAGTATTATTATTTTTAGATTTAGTTATACATATATACTGGTGGACCGCTATTTCATTTGTTGTTTCCCAGTGATTTGCTTGCAAGGAAGAATCAGTTCGCTGTCTTAGTTCGCTTCTAAATTCACCCATCCATTCATTCATTCACCCATCCATCCATTCATTCACCCATCCATCCATTCATTCACCCATCCATCCATTCATTCACCCATCCATCCATTCATTCACCCATCCATTCATTCATTCATTCGCCCATTCATTCATTCATTTTTTAATCAAATCAATCATCCATCCATTCACCATTTATTGTACATGTATGTATGTATAATTTTGTTTATAAATACACTGGTAATCAGTTCCTGGCAAGGTTTTCTGTACATTAGTACGGATTGAACATCGAGTTAACGTCTTAATGCAGATTCAGAATAAAACGGATATAACATTATTCGTTCGTTCGTTTCTTCATTCATTCATTCAATCAATCATTCACTCCTTCATTCGTTCATTTGTTCGATCTATTGTTCATGCATCGACTCGACCATTCATGAATTCATTCACTCACTCATTCAATTATTTATATTCAAAACATTATCTACACGTTCATTCATTCATACATACATTCACTCATTCATTTTTTCATTGCCTCATTCATTCTATCAGTCAGTGAAACAATCTTCACTAGAACCATCACCAATATATATTTTCCATTAGACCCTCTAATTCATTCATTCATCCATTCACTTTTATAGTTTGATGAATGAATGAATGAATGAACGAAAGAATGAACGAACGAACGAACGAATGCTTGCAAACCAAATCAGCTAGGCTAAATATCGCATAAGTAAATTTGATACAGGATTCCCGATGAAAGATATGACAAAAAGAAAACAAAATAAATATACTAATTAATTAACTAATCAATTAATCAATTAAAAAATGAATAAATAGTTACATAAATCACTCAAAAAAACATTGAGAACAGAGCAACAACATTACATTGATTAATTTATTGCACAGAATCTCTCGAATAAAAAGACCAAAACATAAAACCACAAAGATAAACAAACAAAGACAAACAAAACAAACGAACGAACGAACAAACGAGAAAAGACAAACAAATAAAAGTAAATTCAAGTGATTCTATATAATATATTTAAATAAAAATAAATAAATTCACACGCTAACTCAAATACATGTATGTACGAATTTCGAAATAACTTCAATTATCGATTTTGCCACTAGAAATTTCTTTGTTTGGAATGAATAAAAAAAACCTTGAAAATTTTTGCAATTTTTTCAAATGGGTTGCAATAAACAAATAAACAAACAAACAAACATATGAACGAACGAACAAACAATCAGTCAATCAGTCAATCAATCAGTCAGTTAGTCAGTCAGTCAGTTAGTCAGTCAGTCAGTCAGTCAGTCAGTCAGTCAGTCAGTCAGTCAGTCAGTCAGTCAGTCAGTCAGTCAGTCAGTCAGTCAGTCAGTCAGTCAGTCAGTCAGTCAGTCAGTCAGTCAACCAACCAACCAACCAGTCAATCAATCAGTCAGTCAACCAACCAACCAACCAGTCAATCATTCAATCAACCAATCAGTCCATCAATCAATCAAACAAACGAACAAAACAAACAAACAACAACAACAATAATAATAATAATAAACAAACAAAGACAACACTTAGTACTACCTAATAGCGCAAACAATGGTAGTATTATATAATAAAAAACAGAGCAAATAACACGTATCTACTACATTATCATAACCATATCACTTATCACTGCTACTACTATAATAAATTATTATCATTATTAATTAATTAATTAGTTAGTTAATTAGTTTTGTTATTAGTAATTTCATTAGTATTTACATTACGACTTCGAAAATACTTTAAAGAAATACTTATCTGAGGTTGCTAAACAATTTACTTACTAGCATGAGAATTATACTATATAAATATATAAATATACATATATACTGTATATATATATACCATATAAATATACCATATATATATACCATATATATATATATATATATATATATATATATATATATATATATATACTGTATGTATTATATATGTGCGAGATCTTGATATGCTAATAGACTCGTGTATATGATGTTGAAGATTTTGAAGAAACTGTTGTTGTTATTATTATCATCATTATAAATACTTAGATAATAAACAAAGAAATAACAACAACAGCAACAACAACAACAGCAACAACAACAACAGCAACAACAATAGCAACAACAACAACAATAGTAATAGCTATAAAGAAGCATAGACATCAGACCACAATTGTAATAATAAAAATGTTAACAATACAGTAATAATAATAATAATAATAATAATAATAATAATAATAATTAGAAACAATCTAATATCGATAGCGTAGCTGCTGTAGCTGCTGTCGTCGTTGTCGTCGCGTCTGCAGCTGCTGTCGTCGTCGTCGCGGCTGCCACTGCTTCTGATAAAGATGACTGTTGATAAGTTCGTTTCTGACCGTGCCTTTGCTGCTGTTGTGGAGATAATTGTTTAAATTGTTGTTGTTGTTGATTTTTGTCCGGTTGCATGATGTTGTGTGGTGTATTGTTGTTATTTACGTTGATGTTTTTGTAGCTATTTTTGGCGTTGTTTTTCATGTTGTTGTTGTGAAAATTAAATTTGTTCATCTTGATGTCATTTGCTGTGCTGCTGCTGTTATTGTTGTCGTTGATGTTATTTGCATATTCATGTTTCTGTTGATTTAATTGTTGTTGCTGTTGTAGTTGTATGTTTGAAGCAATGCTTAGTGGCGTGTTGTTATTAATGTTGTTAACATTGATAATGCTGTTGTTGTTGTTGACATTAATAATGCTGTTGTTGTTTTTAACGTTAATAATGTTGTTGTTGTTGTGGCAGCTGAAGTCGTTGTTAGCGTTATTGATGCTATTTATTAGACTGTTATTACCGTTGTTGTTGTTGGCGTTATTGGTGTTAGTAGCTGAAGTGTTTGTAATGTTACTGGCAAGTTGAACGCTACTACTAATACTACCATTACAACTGGTAGAAATGTTATTTAATGTGTTGTTGCTGTTGTTGTTTATAACATTATAATTATTATTTATGTTGTTGTTATTATTATTATTATTATTATTATTATTCATGGGGCTATGATTATTACTGTTGTTAATACCATTGCCTAAACTGATGGTATTAATGTTGTTAATGTTATTATTGTTGTTGTTGTTGTCGTTGTTGTTATTGATGACGTAAATGTGCTGGTGCATGATGTTCCATTGTTGGTGGAAAAAATCATTTTGCTGTTTCAACTGGTGTATCAAGCCATACGCCTGTTCCAACTCTTTCATCAATCTCAACACCTGGATGAATGAATAAATGAATGAATGAGTGAATGAATGAATGAATGAATGAATGGGGAAATGAATGAAAGAAAGAATGGGTAAATTAATGGATAGATAGATGGAAAGCCAATTGAAGAATGAATGGATAAATTGATATATAGACGGAGGAACAAACCAAGAGATGTCTGAATGATTGGTTGATGATTGACTGGATGGATGGATGAATGCAAAAAAGAAAGGACTCAAAAATAGTTAAATGAATAAATGGATGAATGAATGAATGAATGAATAAATGGATGAATGAATGAATGAATGAAAGAATAAAGGATGAATGAATAAAAAGATGGATCGATAGACCAACCACACAACCGTCGTTCGTCACCAGTACGAACCTCTTGTGACTTTTCAACAAGGGCCGACCTCAGTAAAAGTTTCTCAGGGTCAATGCCAGATTGGAGGATATCATTCTGTAGGCCGTTCAACATTTTAAAATCGTTCAAATCGTTCTTCAGAGCTAAACTCGATCTCCTCAACACTATCTGCTGCTGCTGCTGCTGTTGAAGCTGCTGCTGCTGAAGTTGCTGCTGCTGTTGAAGCTGCTGCTGCTGTTGAGATTGCTGAAATGGGTTTAGTAAGGCCTCATTTAATTGCTGCTGTTGTTGTAGTTGTTGAAATTGTTGTTGCTGCTGCTGTAGCTGTTGTTGTTGCAAAGACCAATTATTAGTATTGTTGTTGTTGTTGTTAATGTTGTTACTGATGTCGTTGCTGTTGCTGGTCAAATTTGTTGTAAGATTTAGTAATGCGTTGTTAGTGTTGTTGTTGTTTAGATTGTTGTTAATGTTGATGTTGTTGTTTACTGATGTAATCTGATTTATACTGTTAACACTACTGTTGATGTTGTTGCTGTTGTTGTACTGAGCACTAGAATTGAGTAAAAAAAATTCTCTTACACATTAAACCAAATAGTGTTTTTGAAATTTAGAAACCAAAGATATACAACTGAAAAATACAACAGACGAAAATATTATATATCATATACAATACACCACAATGAAAGAAAAAATAAACTGAAATAACCTAAAACTCCCTATGATGTCACTAGCATTAACACCATTACTCAGCAAGGATTGTTGTTGTTGTTGATGATGTTGTTGTTGTTGATTGATGTTATTATTGTTATTGTTGACGATGCTGCCTTCCAAAGAATTTAGTTCAATTAATTCTTGGCCATTTGACCAAATGTTAGAGAAGGACGGTAACCCATTCGATAGCAATGACGATGACGTTGTTGTCGTTGTTGTTGCAGCTGCTGCTGTCGTTGGCAACAACAACGACGATGACGTCATCACAGATGATGTCATTGTTGACGTCATTGACTGTAGGTTTGTTGAAATTAACTGTTGACTCAACCCTATGGTTTGCATTGCTGTCATGCTTTGCTGGTCTTGCTCTTGCAACTGTTGTAGTTGCTGTTGTTGTTGTAGTTGCTGTTGTTGTTGTAGTTGCTGTTGTTGTAACTGTTGTTGTAATTGTTGTTGCTGTAATATGTCTTCATGTTGTTGTTGTTGTTGTTGTTGCAACTGTATAAGATTATTTTGTTGAGACAGCATGTCCTTTGATGTTAGTATCAAAAATATAACATGTTAATTATCATTGTAAGTAAATTATAAAACAAACAAACAGAAAAACATGAATACAAGCCGACAAATTAATAGACAAATAGACGAGCAAACAAACAAACAAACAAATGAACAAACGAACGAACGAATGAACAGACCAGCAGTTAGATAGATAGATAAACTATCAAACAAACAAACAAACAAACAAACAAACAAACAAACACCTGAGACAATTGAGTATCAAATTGTTGTTGCTGATGTAGTAACAACATCTCATCAATTTTTCCGCCATTTTGAATGACAACAGCCCCACTATTAGTAAAATTCGTCGAGTTCTGACGGCTAGGTTTAGCTCTGGCAGTCTTCTCTTTGGGATCTTTTTTTCGAGCCCGGGGTTTGATGAGATCAGACGCCTGTAGGCCAGTCATTTGCAGGTACTTTTGAAGTTCGTTATCGTATCTTACCTGCATGTTTATTGATTGGTTGGTTGGTTGACGGATTGTTTGATTGAATAGTAAGTTGGCTAGTTGATTGATTGTAATAATCAAATGTTTCAGCAAAAAACAAAAAAAAATAAACCACCACCAAAAGCAATAAAATTGAAATTCTACCTTATCTGACAGGAACTCATCGTTAAACCGCTGCTTATCAGAGTCACTGAGCTCCCTCCAGACCCGACCAATGTTGGCCCCCACCTCACACACGGTCATGCCCGGGTTCGCTGCCTTCACCTTTTGCCATATCTGTATGTGCGTGTGTTTACGTGTGTGCGTGGATAAAGATCAAATTGGATTCGGAAAGACTATGTTTTTATCAGTAATCTTAAAATAATGACAGACTAGAATACAGATAAGATGCTATACAGAAAGACATAATGGCAAACTAAAGAAGAAATAAAACAGGAACAAAACGGGAGACAAGCAAGGCAAAACACAGACAAACATACAGACAGACAGACCAAAAAACATACAGACAGACAGACAAAAAACCGGATAGACCGACAACCAAACAAGCAAGCAGACAGACAGACGGACATCACACATACCCCTTTACTGAATCTCATGTAAGGTGACAAGGGTTTTTTAGGTGGAGGGGGGTAGTCATTCAATTTATTATTATTGTTATTATTATTACTGTCACTCACGTCACCGACAACGCTGTTGTTGATGTTGTTGACATTAAGAACGTCGTAAGAGTCCACACTCTTGTTCATAAACATAGAATCATTAAGAATGCCACAACTACTGCTGTCAATATTTTGATGGCCGATGCTGTTGCTATTGATGTTGTTGGTGTTGATGTTGTTGCTATTGATGTTGTTGGCGTTGATGTTATTGTTGTTGCTGTCGTGGGGACTGAAAAGAACGATGCTATCTTCAGGTGAGGATATGGTCTGGGATGACGAAGGGTTGTACGAATGGGCTACGTGGTTGGCCAGCATAGAGCTGTTAGCGTCGTTGGGTGGGTTTAGTGAATCAGTGATAATTTAGTTAACGCAGTGATCAGTGCCGTCCGATTAGTTGCAAATTTTATTGAATTTGTTGCTTGTTGATGCAGATTATTTAAAATGAACATAAAAGAAAAAAAATTATATAAGTTATTTAAAAATATAAGTTGCTAAACTTCTAAGTTTACAATTGATAAATTTTATAACTTATAACATATTACTCAATCCTTTAATTTTATAATAACCTTAATTCCAGACTAAATCCCTAATTTAGGATTAGCAACAAACCTAGAAGAAGCAGGAGTCCCCAGTATAGAAGGCGACGGGGTCAAATCAAAAAAGCACTCAACTTCCTCCATCGATCTCAGCAATGCCTCGTCCACATCCGTCGAACTGGCCGCCACGCTGGTGCAAACACTTCCTGATGACGAGTCGGCCAGTGTGCTAGTGACAGCATTCCTATTGTCTAGTAAGTTATTCGTGGTCGATTCTATTGAGGGTTCTGGTCTAGGTGAAGAACTCAAACCATTGAAGAAGCCGGTACTAAACGGTGATAAGTTGTGAGAATGCATCAGTGACATCGAAAGATCGTCAAAATTTGATTGGCTGGAGTTAATCATCATTGAGTTCAGGCCATTGTGACCCCCAGTGTCAAACTGTAAAGCGTCAGAACAGTTTATGAAATCATCTATAGAGCCAGAAACTTGATGCAAATCGTGCAATAAGGGAGATGAAATTAGGGAATGATGGTAGATGTTGTGTTGATTGGTGGTGTTCTCAAATGCTATTTTCAGTGCTGACAGATCATCCTCTTCTTGTGCTGAACCCAACATCTGATTTTTTGGGTTGGGTTTGTTGACAATTTTTTTGTATTTTTTAAACTGCAGTCTACACTCAAGAAATTTTGAATTAGAAAAAAATTTATGAAAGCTTTTTTGGTTAAATTAACTTTTAAAGTTTAAAATGTTTTTGGGAATTTTTTAACATTTGGTATTAATGGAATTTTTTACATGGTTAATAAATTGCAATGCACTAATTATTCGAATAAATATTTAAATTAACAATAATTAGAAAAATTACTGTTTTGCATTATTTTTTGAAAAACTTATTTTTTCAATTCATAATTAATTATAAAAAATAAATAAAATAATGTAACTTCAATTACATGACAGGAAATAAAAATAAACTCCAATTAAAGCCAAATTATTACGTAAAATAATAAAATAAATTTGAAAAAATGAAATTTAATCGCTTTAAAATTAAATTTTAAATCAAAATAATCACGAATTTTATGCAAGTTCAGCCATAGATAAAACACTCAAGGTCTCCATCTTACACGTGATCAAAACCCCAGATAGAATATTATTGTTCAAATTATTTAATTAAAAATCTAATTTACTAAAATATAGTACAAATTAAACGCTTAAAACAGTAGTTTTCTCAATTATAGCCATTATTTATAATTAACTATATTTAATCCAAATTTTCTCCGTTTTGCTGTTAGTAATAATTAAGGTGTTCTTTAAATGCCAAAGTTCAAAAAAACCCTTTTTGCTAGTTTTAATTTTTATTTAGGAAAATACAATTTATATTATACATACATTCATTCATACCTACATACATACATACATACATACATACATACATACATACATACATACATACATATATACATACATACATACATACATATATACATACAACAAACATACATTCAAACACACACACTTATACATACATAAATACAAATTTATAGTGAATACGTAGTAGTTATAGTATTATACTTGAAGTAGTATTAGTGATACTAATACTAATATTTACTAGACATTTTAGTAGACGCAGTAATAATAGTAGTAGCAGCAGTAGTATTAGTAGCAGTAGTAGCAACAATATCAGTAATAGTAGTAGCGGTAGAAGTAATAGTAGCAGCAGCAGTAGTAGTAGAAGGTGTAGCATAGTAACAGCAGCAGTAGTAATAATAGTAGTTGTAATAATAGTAGTAGTATATGTAGTAGCAGTAGCAGCAGCAGTTGTAGTTGATGTAGTAAGTAGCAGCAGCGCTAGTTGTAGTAGCAGTAGCAGCAGCAGCAGTACTAGTAGTAGTATAAAAATGATGATTGATAACTCCAGCCTGGAGAATGCGCGCTCATTTAAACAACATCTGATTCATCTTAATCACTAGTCCTCGTTATTATTATTATTAATATTATTATTATTATCATTTTTATTATTATAATTATTTGTTGTTGTTGTTGTAGTAATAGTAGTAGTAAAATGAGTAGTAGTAGTAGTAGTAGTAGTAGTAGTAGTAGTAGTAGCAGCAGCAGTAGTAGTAGTAGTAGTAGTAGTAGTAGTTGTTGTTGTTGTAGCAGTAGTAGTAGCAGTAGTAGCAGTTGTAGCAGTAGTAGTAGCAGTAGTAGCAGTAGTAGCAGTTGTAGCAGTAGTAGTAGCTGTAGTAGTAGTTGTTGTTGTTGTAGTAGTAACAGCAGCAGCAGCAGTAGTAGTAGTAGTAGTAGTAGTAGTAGTAGTAGTTGTTGTTGTAGCAGTAGTAGTAGCAGTAGTAGCAGTTGTAGCAGTAGTAGTAGCAGTAGTAGTAGTTGTTGTTGTTGTAGTAGTAGCAGCAGCAGCAGTAGTAGTAGTAGTAGTAGTAGTAGTTGTTGTTGTTGTTGTTGTAGCAGTAGTAGTAGCAGTAGTAGTAGAATTAAATTTGACATCATCTCCATTAACATCATCATCGCCAATATAATAATAATAATATTATCAATAATTATCATCGTAATAATAATAATAATAAAAATAACAAGCATCATCATCACCACCATCGTCGTCGTCATCATTATCATCGTCCTGAATACCCGTCTTGGTCCCCATCATTCAACACTATAATCACATCAAAGAAGAT